TTTCCTCAAAAAGAGCCTCTTAGACTTTGCATTTTATCCGCCCACTGTGTGAAGCATTCCTGTGGTTCAGATAAAGGGAAGTTACATGAAGGGAGGTGGTGAGTAATGGACCGCTAGACAGCAGTTTCATTGGTGAAGCAATGATAAAGAGCTTCTAAACTTTCTCTGAGCTCATGATTCATAAGATGACCTCATTGCCACCTGCGACTTTTTTAATTTCCTTAGCAAGTTAATGAAAGTAATTCTATTGGATGAAAAAAAAAAATTACAGGTACTTATGCGTGTGTTTGACTGCTCATTTCTGTTCTTAATTATTGTTGTGTACTCAATACCCCCACCATGGGTATATGCCCCAAGTCAACATACTTGTGGCTGTATGCTTCTATTTCCCAAAAGTTAAGTGATGCTCCTCAGCTGACTTCTCATTTGGTCACAGAGTGGATGGGCTTACAGTGTGCACATTCTTAAGATGTTGGCAGTGTATACGTGTATATGTTTGTGTAGATTCTACTTAAACGTGAACAGGTTTGATGAATATGCAGAGTGAGAGGTATGTGTCAAAGACTTGCATGGTTGACCTGACCCTATTTAGCATATCTCTCTACAACTGGTTATTATTGTCCATTGCAGCACTAATTTTTCCAGTCAGTTCATCAGTATGCCCCAAAGAATTGGATTAGTCTCAGCCTTTGAAGAGCCTGAGTGAGCTGTTATCATCTGAACTGGACTGTGTGTTATGGTGGGCCAGGCAGGGCCAAGCCAGGCTGGCTGTAGCTTGAACAAAGAGGCCCTGTAGTCTTAGATCATGGCTGTATATGTGTGTGTGTGTGTGTGTGCGCGCGCGCGCGTGCGTGCATGTGAGCGTGTGTATGGACAAGTACACATGTGTGGTTTGATGGGTGCTCTTTGTTTTCCAGCCCTGGGCCTTGCTGGCCAGAGCTCAAGTCTGACTAATATAGATGTATAAAATACACTAGGCTGCCGTCAGTTTGTGCAACATCAAGGGCACCATTGTTTCACACAACTCTGTGACTTCAGAGATAAACCTCATCCTTTGTTCTCGTCAGTATTTATATTATCGTTTTACTCCACAAAATGAGACACGCTTGTATTCGTGTTTGTTTTGGCGCTACATGTTATGTGATCTTTGCTTTTGCACAGTCTAAAATGTTCCTGTAACAAAATACAGGAGTATTACCTTTGACACTGAACTACAGCTGGTGAGATCTCTTCTACACAGAAAATTGATTTTTGTTTTTAGGAAAGATGAGACCACATTGGCCTTCCCCATCCCATCATGTATCGCATAATATTACTTGTTGAAATTCACCCGGTCAAACTAAACTGTTTGTTAATGTTCTGATGTCTCTTAATAAATCTTAGTGTCTGCATGATTATGGAACTTGGTTTTGCTAAGGGCTTTCAAATTCCCTTTTCTCAGTTTTCCTCAGGCTTACGCTCTGCTGCTGTACTTTCTCCCCTGCTTATATCTCACACTCAATCAGCCAGTCTGTTAATCATCACTTCACAATCCAGCGATTAATTACTATAATAATATCATCCGAGAGACAGAGCTGTTGTCCCGTGGGTAAATACTCTAAATAGAGAGAAAGGCAGGTTTTTTCTCCTTAACCATCTTGGCTGTCACCAGTTTACCTGGGTTTCCCAGCTGACCATGTATCTGCCAAAAACATTGTAGCCTGTATTATTTCTTTCTCTTTTGTGATAGAGCCTCTGCAATGTGGTAATCAGTAGAGAACCTGCTTTCTCCTTTCTACTGTACTCCTAACTACTCTCACAAACATGGTTGTACTGTACAACTATCATGAGCAGGGATTTTACCTCTCACACTTTTGCCCCATTGAAAACACTAATATGTGTAATATTCTTACAAGTCATTTAATGAATTTGAACCAAATCAAGAAACAGTGTGAGTTAGATAAATTCTTCTCTGTCCTTATACTGGAAAGTACATTTGCCATGCTACAAATCTGCTGTTTACTGGACAGAAAATGACTTTCTTTCATACAGCGCCCACTCAAATGTTAAACAGAAATTAAATTGAAGTCAGGCTATTAATCTGCAAGTCTCCAGTCTCTCTGATGACTCATGCTTGACCTATTGCCTCTTACTGGTGCAAGCATGTCTGCACCCTTATGGCTCATACATGCATAAGGCCTCCTCAGCAAGGCTTATGGTCAGTGTGGGGGTGTGGGTGTGTAGGAGAGCATCCAGACCTGGTGGAGAAACATTTACACAGAAGGTTTACGTGTCCTCTTCATTATCTTAGGCTGCTTTGAATAGGTGTTTAGTGTAATGGTTATCAAATTGTGTGTGTGTGTGTGTGTGTGTGTGTGTGTGTGGGTGTGGGTGTGTGTGGGTGTGGGTGTGTGTGGGTGTGTGTGGTGTGTGTAAAATGGGAGCAGAGAATAAAAATGATCATGTCCTTTAAGATCTCATCTGGTACAGTTTCATGTACCCTGTCCCTTGGTACTGTACATGTAAGCTGTATAAGAAGCCCACAGCCTTGCTCTCCTCCTCCTCCTCCTCTTTCTCCCTGCCTCTCAGTGCATCCCACAGTTCAAGGACAAGGCCACCTGCCTGCATGACCGCCTGGTCACATGACCCCAGCACACTGTTGTTTCTCATGGCGCAGCCCCTCTCTGTCTGCCTGGACTGTTGGATGAATGAATGGATGAACGGATGAATGAATATATCACAAAACACTTTAGAGGAATGGATGTGTTTGGGAATGTCAGGGGGAGCCGTGGTTAAATGGGTCAGGTCCCTTCACACAATAGTGGCATTACTGTGGGAGTCGTACGGGCAGACAGGGGAGGGGGGAGAGGGGAAGGAGGGTTGGAGAGGGGGGACACCCAAGCTCTCTGCAGCAATTATGGACATAAATAACATCCACACAGAGCTGCCATGGAAATTAGGGTCAAAGGGTTAACTGTGTATTCTAGAGGTGAAGGCCAACTGATTCATTGTCATATGGTGCAGGGGAGTGAAAGGGAGAGACTGAATCACAAACCCAGATTAGGAGATCTACAGTAAATGCAGCATAGGAATTACAGGTAGCCCTGTCACCACTAACCTTTCTCTGCCCTCATACAGTGCATTTACAGTACATGATCTTGAGAAAGGTGATTCAACTGATTAATTATCAAAACAGTTCAGTCCAGTCAGCTAATTGAATTATCAACTAATGGTTTGAGCTCGATGTTGTGTGCATTTAAAAATGTACTGATTGTGTCTCCACACCTTGCCACTATGGACACAAATAACACTTTAGGTATACTGATTCTTTTCATCCTACCGAGATCCAGTATCAATCTTCTGTTTGTGTGTGTGTTAGTGTGTGTGTTAGTGTGTGTGGGGTTGTGTGTTTTCCTCAACTAACGTACAGTATAATGTGTCTGGACATGTCAACAAACACCAGACACTCTTATCAGCTGGCTGTTGGTCTGTCTCCTCATCACATGCACTTGGCAACTCTGCAGTTTGAACCCTCTGTAAACTGTATATTTAGGATAAAGGAAGGTGATGACAGTAATGACCATGATGATGTTGAAGATGACGGGTGAGATAGTTTGGGGATTAGGAGATGATTAAGGGGTGACGGAGCGAGATTATCACGATGATAGGGTGCACAGATGACACGGTATGTTATTTTAAAAGGCTGATTATAGAAGGTGTAGTAAATGAGCACCCTGCCACGTGTGTTGGTGTTTATGTCTTTCCATCTCCTGCCACATAAGACTGTGCTCAGCACTCTGCTACAGACAGCTGTACCATCACTCCCTGCAGGCACACACACACAGGACAACAGTGTTGCTTCATCAGATGGAGGGAAGCAGAGTAAATCTGTAATTTAAAGCAGTCTGGGGGTTAAAAAAAAACTCTGCTTTGAGACACAAATTCAGGCGTGTCTGTCTGAACTAATAATAGTAACATAATCACATTCTTATGATTTCACACTGTGAGTTTTCTAGCATTTTCTGCACTTCATGTAGTTGGACCAGCAATGGTGAATCAAAGAGAAGACTTAAATAAAAAAGATACTAAAGGATAAATCATGCATCAAGACAAACGTGTATGATGCAACTAAATTAGAGAATGGGTATAAGCAAAAGATGCCTGCCTAGCAACACTTTAATCCAGTGTGGCAGGTCAGAGGAGCAACTAAATACCTTCTTCGCTTCTTAGCTCTCTCAGATGACCCACCCAGAAATAATATAGGAGTGTTTACTCAATCTTTGGAGCCTCAGTCAGGCTCTGCCAGCTGTTTACTCATGCCTGCTGTCATTCATAATCTTTTCACATGTAGACTTTAGTGACTCCAGGACTTAGTCATGCAAATAAGCAAAGGAGGCTACCTTGCTGGTAGCCAAGGAACCACTCTGCCTAGTGCAACTGAACAGGATATCGAAACACAAGGTGTACGTGTAGCTTTAAGACTGGCGCACTTATCTAAAGAGTCAAATAAACAATGTTTTGTTTGGAGAGTTTCATGAGTCAGTGACATTTTGAAAGTGTCATTTAAGTATTTCTTGCACCCAACACTAACGCCTGGCACTTTAAATGTGCCCACATTGTGTAGTACTCCACTACCCTAAAGGAGCAGAAAGATTTCACAGTAAAAAAAAAAACAAATAAAAACCATGTGTCAATACATACTGTATGTGATAAAAAAAATCCTATATTGTAAAGCCAGTGATTATTGTTTTCAGTTCCAATTAGATGAATCATATCTAAAAACTGTTTTTGAATGGGCCCCAGCAAAGTATGCCATCTTACATACATTTATGTCATGCAAAGCCACATGAAGTATTTTGTACACTTAGAATATTCATGTTTTCTTTACACTTTCAGATAGGTGTGAGTTCTTTCACAAAGATTGAATTTGTTGCAGGATTATTGTAGTTGATTGTATTAGATTCCACACATTCTACATAAACGGGCCTGAGGGTACTGATCCTTTCCCTCTTGTGTTGCAGAGTGCAGCGATGGAGGAAACGGTCATATGGGAACAGCACACAGTGACCCTTCACAGGGTAAGTGTTTACAACTCTTTAATCCACTCTCGCCTTTCTTCTTTTTTGTCTTTTTCTCTCTCTGCCTGTCTCTGGCATCCTAATCCTGTTGTGTGTCTGTGTGTGTGTTATCTTCACTCTTTCCTTACTGTTCCTCTCTGTCTTCTGCTCATCCATCTCTCTTCTCACTCTGTACTGAGTGGGCCAGCTGTGGCAGCAGGATGTGTGGTAATGAAACAATAGTCAGGGAACCCAGATGGCAGGAAACAATGCTAAGGAAGACAGACATCAGCATCCACTTCCTTACTACTTCATTTCCTTCCTTAACACAACTCCAGGGAAAGAGGGAGAAGATAGTTTTAGGCTGTGTGCTTTTTGTCAGGTCAGTGAATATCACTGACTATCCCCTCTGGCACAATCAACATCATCAGGTTAACTGTCAAACTATTCAAAGCCATATTCCCCCACAGAGAGCAGATAGATGAGTATACTCATTCTCCTATTGCATGCTGAATTTCTGAATGTACTTTGCTTTGAGACAGTAAACTCTACGTATTTGATGCTGCTGTGCCGTGGGATTTTGTAGAGCACCTGTCTAGACTGGCCTGCTTGCTGTAATCTAATTAGCAGTGGCTTTATTGAGGCTGAAGGAGCGGCCCAGTGTGGCCTGTGCTCCTCAGCCTAGCAACTCTCCTGTGTTGTTGTGGTTGTAAGATGTAAGCCATTTACATCACATAGCTTGCTCCCTTGGTGCTGGTTTTTCCAAAGGCAAAAAAGCAGTCCTGAAAACCTCCCTGGAAAACAATAACTTGCAAATGCATATTTTTGTTGTTGTCTTCAATAAATGGCTTTCAGGCTTTTAAAGCCCTCCTTCACTGCACAAAACACATCACATTACTTAAGTAACAGTTTCACAGATAATTAGCCTATAGAGAGTCCAATTTAGTCTCATTTTGTTTACAGCACTCTGAGACACAACTCTGATGTATCTGCCATTCATTCCATATCAGTCAGTCTTGTATATATTTTTGTGTGTATAGGCCCCAGGATTTGGGTTTGGTATTGCCATCTCAGGTGGACGAGACAACCCTCATTTCCAGAGTGGAGAGACGTCCATTGTGATATCTGATGTGTTGAAAGGAGGTCCTGCAGAGGGACTGCTACAGTAAGTGTTTGACTATATTGCAAGAAATTTTTTTCTGATAGTAATGTTCAATCTCTCACTGTTTGTTAATGTCGAAATACAAACGTTTTGCAGGAACAAAGTTAGTCTGTCCTCGGAATTAGTTAGTCAGTTATTAATTACTATTCTGCCTTATGTAGACTGACATTAACCCTTTCACCTATTTATGCTTTGCGCATTTTTTTCTTTAATTTTCCAGAGAAAATGATCGAGTGGTGATGGTTAATGCTGTCTCTATGGACAATGTAGAGCATGCCTACGCTGTGCAGCAACTCCGCAAGAGTGGCAAAAATGCAAAGATAGTAAGTTCAACACAATACTGTAGTAACCGAGCCTGAATTAGGGGGAAATAGATTCACAGTGACCCCTGATGTTACAGAGCATGATTTTGGGATTGTGTGCACTCACTTTCAAATTGCTGTTTCACAGAATGTTTTCTCAACAATAAAGATACTGTCTTGTATTTCAGATGTGAGCGAGAAAATAATATTTTCAACTTCTAACGTTCAAGATTTTGTCTCTTTTCTAAGACCATCCGTAGGAAAAGGAAAGTACAAATCCCTGTTTCGCGGCCAGGAGACAGGGAGACCATGTCAGAGCACGAGGAAGAGGACAGTGATGAGGATGATGGCTATGAGCACCACAGCGGTCGTGGTGGCCAAAGTGCCTATGGAGGAGCAAGCGGAGGCACAGGCACTGGCAGGCGTCAGGAACGTGAGCGTAGCAGCAGTGGCAGGCGGGATCACAGTGCCTCGCGGGAGAGGAGTGTCTCACCGCGCTCTGATCGCCGATCACAAGCCTCGTCTGCTCCACCCAGGCCTGCCAAGGTCACCCTTGTCAAGTCCCGCAAAAATGAAGGTGGGCAACACAAAGATGACTAAACATATTGTGAACACATCCAATTTACATAAAACTCAAAAATATTTTAACAAAATACTGAAACTGATTATTTAAAAGACGTGTATATATGAAACTTACAGTAAGGGTCAATCAGTACAATCAGAAATGAAAACTAGTTAGTCTCATTTGCAGAGAACCAAGTGAGGATTAAATTGATTCGCTCTGCTAATATTACTCTTTTATGCTTATCAACTCTGAAAGCAGAATATGGACTCCGATTGGCCAGCCACATCTTTGTGAAGGACATCTCTCCTGAGAGCCTTGCTGCCAGGGATGGAAACATCCAAGAGGGAGATGTTGTACTTAAGGTGAGAGGAAAGCACGACAGAGCATGTGGGTAAGACGGGTGTTTAAAGTGGGTAAAACACAGTAATGGAGAAGTAAACGGACAAAAAGATTATTAGAATAAATGTAAAAGATGAATACGTTAAGAAATGGCTTCAAATAATTTCATTTATGGAAGGAGTGAGGTGGGATCAGGCATTCTTTTTACTGAAAATGTTCTCTAGTCTGCTGGGGTAATCTGTGAGCTGCTGAAAGTGGCTCACAGAGTGAGGTCACAGATCATTAGTATGCAGGCTCACCAGCAGGAATGCCACACATTCCATTATTCCTCTGAATTTTTATCCATTCAGTCTCAGAGGAGGGAAAAAAATCCTCCTTCACATTAAAGAGATTCATTCAAAATCTAATTTATTGTATCAATAGTTCTGAAGAGAGGCAGAGACATTTTCTAGTTGAAATGTGATTGCAGGACAAACATCAATAGAAATGAATACTTAATACTTAAATAATAAAGATAATTAAGTTTTGCCTTATACAATGTATATCACGTAATACAACTTCTCTGGGCTCTCTTCGTGTCTGACAGCACCAATAGTGTTGCGGACCTAATTATATTACAGATTTTTAAACTTTTTATAGCCTCTTTATTTGGGGCATAGTTATTGTTAATGTGAGGTAGAGCTAAGCTGCTCGTAATTCCTCTTCGCCTTGTGATGATCCTTTAGTTTTCAAAAAGCACACAGTGTCGGCTTTACAGCAAAATTCTGTAGTAATGACAACTTGTCTATTCAGTTCTTGTTCTGACCTGCTCTCCTCCTCTGGCAGATCAATGGCACAGTTACGGAGAACCTATCATTGATAGATGCCAAGAAGCTGATTGAGAGGTCAAAGGGCAAACTGAAGATGGTGGTGCAAAGAGATGAGCGAGCCACGCTGCTCAACATTCCAGACCTCGACGACAGTATCCCATCAGCTAATAACTCCGACAGAGATGGTGAGACAACACACATGTAGCATCGCCTTGGTGGATGCAGCTAGGATTTGATTGCTGAAGCTGTAACTGGTTTGACAAATCAATATCTTATTTTTAAATGCCGAAAAAGTATCATTTAAATCACTGTTCAAGTCAAATTATTCTTGTTATTTTGCCTCTACCCTGATTTACATCATCGATTAAATGCTAATACATATTTAATGCACATTTCACAGACATTTCAGAAATACATTCACTGACATCAGAGCATTCCAATCGATCCCACGGGAGAGGCAGTCGATCACGTTCCCCTGACAGGCCTGAACTGTCGGACCATCTCCGTCACTCACCTCGGCAGATCAGCAATGGCAGGTAAGCGCAGTACACATGCGCACACACACACACACACACACACACACACACACACACATACACATGAAGACTGCAAATCTGGTGATGGCACACAGCTGTCACACATGCCACAGTCATGCCTCCATACTCCCACCACTCCAACTTCATAAATCATGTTCACACCCACAGGTTAGTGGATGTTGAGTAAGCACCTTGCTTCACTAATGCATAAATCAATGGATAAAGACGTAGCATGCATAAACCATCACAGTCCCTCTGGAACCATCACTGTGTTACAATAATGCTTTGCTCTGGGAGAGGGCTGGGGAAGAGAGGAGGGATTGATTCGTCTCCTGGTCGACTAAGGGCTTGTTTTGAAAAATGTAATAGAATCATGCAAAGCTAAGTTTTACTTTTGTTACCATTATTCTCTGTTTATAATGCATTGAATGCAATTGAATGTAATGTTATTTGGTAGCTGTTATCTGCATATACTCCACTCCATTTACACATATACTTTCAATTAATTTTAATGTCCATTCTAACTCGTTATTCTCCTGTTTTTCTTACTGCCAGTTGGAGATTCCAGTAAGTTATCTTTCTTGTAGTTTAGAGGTTATATAGCTTCTTGTAGCTGGCAAACACATAGGTGGCAAAAGACAGTTAAAGGAAGACATAAATGTTTCTCTGAGTCAGTGTGGGGCGTGGGCAATGAAACCTTACCTGGCAAGAACAAGATACTGATCTTGTTTGAATCGGACAAGATGACAAGCTCTTGCAGACAGTTGATAAAACAGGACTGGGGAGTGAAACAGGCTTGCCTCTTTTGGGAACAGACCAATGCTAATTTTGCCACTGGCTGTAGTGAGAAAAGACATAGGATATGCTTCTCATTTCTCTAAATAGTTCACAGTAAACTGTTCTGTTTGATACTGTGAAGTAGGGGTGGTTATTGAATGAGGGGCCCAAATCCATGATGCCTTCAAGCACTTGTTCTGGATTGAATTTTCATAGTCTTCTATAATCGGTCCTCCATTTCATCGTGTTTATGTGGACTTTGAGTTGCACTCACAAAACTATGCTTCAGAGAACCTGTAGCCACACAGAAACCTAAGCAGAGGTGCTATTTCAGGAGGCAGTCATTTTCAAACTCATTTGTAATGAAATAGTTGCAATTTTCTCCAGGCATCTGTGATCTTGGTGAGATGGAGGTCTGGCTATGTGAGATACAGGTGCCAGATGTGCTGTGTTTTGATAAACTCTGTTCCTAAAGGGCAAAATGTCTCACTGGAACACGTATACAAAACTCAAACAACTACACTACCTGGTTTGCACAGACCATACACTTAAAACAGCTGTTGTAGCTGCAGGATGATAGCTCAGTACGCTGCTAGTTTAGCTGTCCGGCTTACTAGTTGCTTGTCAGTCATATCATATGACTAGATTGACCTCCAGTGCTGTCATGTCATTAGATGGTAGACTGTGTTAGTCTGTGGAGTAACCATACTTGTTTCAATGCAGGATGAGGGCAGGGTCACTGTTGCACAGATTGCTTCCAATGTAAGTGAATGCATCCCTCTGATAACAGGCTAGTATGTGTTTGTTTTGAGTATTTAATATTTTTGTTGCTCTTTCCCTCACCCCTCTTTTAGTCATTTTATTCTTGTTTACCATTGCACAGGTTAAACTGGTAAGCAAGCACACAATTTGTCACAAGAGGACTTACACCTGCTTCACACGTGGCTGCGGTTTAGAATGTAACTGAAGAAATAACCGCCTGACTCACTACACTGTGATTTCAGGGAATCTTGTTACTATCTCCCAGTTTAGGAGGGGAAAAAGGAATTTGACACACTTCCCACAGAGCTTTGCCCCAAGCCAGATGGTTCGCTTAACCTGATTGGCTGTGGGGCTTAGAGGCATTCTTTTCCCCAGGACATAACGCTGTTCCATGTTTCTGAATACAACAGATCATCAAAAATGCCTTTCATCCAAAGTGTCTCTCAGTGAGCATGAGTATACTGCGTGCAGGCAAAAAAGATCTCTGTGTTGTCTTTCAAGGAATTTAACTTAAAATCCTCTTAATAAGCATCATGGTTCAACTTACAGATACATATGTGTGAGTAATTAATTTTTGTTTTTAAAATATTTTTTAGCTTTTGCTAAACATATGTTATTATTAGATTATTAGTTTACAAGAGTAATTTTTTTGCTTTTCGACATTTTGTTTGTTTTGCAAAATGATGGTAGCGGTTGATATCTAGTCAGCTTTATTCTGCATATGCTAACTGCTAGCATTTTGAAGCTTGTGGGTTGATATGAAGTTACGAAGACTGGGACTGTAATGCAGTTTAGAAATGCTGGTGTGGCAGTACCATATTTTTTTTTTTATCATTTGTTGATATCTGTGCAGCCACATCCATCCCTGCTCCTTCACTTTTTCTGTCGCTCACTGACTCGGGCTCTCGCGTCTGTACCTGTACGAATGTCTAAGCGAGGGGATTGAACAAAGGCTTCTGTCAAATGGTGTTTGTCAGCGTGAAACCTTTTTTTAGCACCATTCTGCAGCAAGGAACAGCAGATTTAGGCCACAACACTCTCTCACTCCTCTCTCTTCTGTCCCTCGCTCTTGCTCTGTTCCTCTCCTTTTCCCCCTGTGTCACACTCTCTTTCTCATCCGTCCATTACACACACAGACACACATACAAACACTCTCTCTCTCTCTCTCTCTCTCTCTCTCTCTCTCTCTCTCTCTCTCTCTCTCTTCCATTACAATTCTGTTATTTATCCGCGGGCTGCAGCTCTCATTTACCCTTCTTCCAACAAATTCCCATATAGGTCTCTCTGACGCTGATTGTGCTGACACATAAATGTGCCCAGATCAGATTCATATGTAAAACTGAATTGTAGCGAGAGCAGCTGGACAAATTCAGTGACCTAGAAAAGGCCATTCTGTGGTGGCAAACTCTGTGAATAAGTTCAGCAGCTGCACAGCTAACAGGTCAAACCTCAGTATCACACATTGGGAGTAAGTGCATGTGTGTGCGCTGTCTCTGCATTTTTCCCTCCACTATATTTTTCATACTACATGAGCAAAAGTGAAAGAATGGGCATGGGAGAAGTTTCCTAGTCTGAGCTAGTGGCACAGTCTGCACCTTCACATTCTTCTACAAAAGCTTCTGAGCTCAAGTACTGTGCCAGCAGCCAGTCATGTGATCAGACTGGAATTCAACCATTGTTTTAAGCTGCAGAGCCCTTTCTACTCTGTTAGACATAGCCTACTAGAAACACACACACACACACACACACACACACACACACACACACACACACACACAGTTTTACCTTGTTTATTTTATCCAGGTTAAACAGGAACTTGGACTGAAAACTATCCTATCTCAAGAGTTTATGTTGGGAGACTTGGTCTCTTTTCTTTTCTGCCTCTGCTTTTATTGGAAAGGTTACCATGTGGTCATTAAAATGGGAGTTTATATTAATCATTGAGAAAAATGTAATCTGGAAATCAAAATCAAAACAAATACTGTCTGCTCCAATCAAACTAATTATCAGTTTTGGGTTGGGAATGTGTTTGTCCATTGACATTCTGCATAGACCACAGAATTTAGAAAAAGGAAGAAAAAACTGACTGTGCAGGGTCTTGCAGAGCCGCACATCCTTCCTTTAATTGCTTGTTGTCTTCTAATCCAATTTTCTGTTCATGTGCCCTAATCATGTAATTCATGGCCAATGCTATTTCTTTTTAGGCCCATTTTAGTGTCTGCATCTTCCTGGTGATGTCAGCACAGGACAAAACTACATATACAAAACACTCGAGGTCCTTGTTACACACATTGGAATCAGCAAAGCTGTGGCAATCGTTTAATGGACACATTAATCAAAATGTCAGCTTTAAGCTGTCAGTGTTTATAAGATTGATGGTCCACTTGTACTGAAGTACCATGTTTAAATTTTGCTTATTCCAGCCACCGAAGTCGAGATGAGGAGCGCATATCCAAACCAGGGGCCATGTCCACACCAGTCAAAAGCTCTGATGATGGGGTCTTGTCACAGGCCAGCGACCAGGCCAGCTCCAGAGATGACAAACAGTTACCTCCACTGCCTGGTATAGAACCCTCTACTCACTGTTATTAGGGACCAGTGCAGACCCTCACATTCATCTCAGCTATTACCACATTTATTACTTCTCCTTCCTATAGGCAGTAGTACAGTAAAGTACCTTGTAGAGCTGTGTCTGTTAGCTTAACATAGATTATTAAAAAGTGAGTTTCAAAGAGTCAGACAGTGAGTGAGGGGTCAGATACACCTTTATAGTAAACTCCATTTCTTTTTAAGGCACTTAAAAACACACAAGCTCGACTGTTGTTTATGGTGTAGTATCTCATCAACACATCCTTGTGACAGAACCAAAGCCAGTTTATGCACAGCCCGGTCAGCCTGACGTGGACCTGCCTGTCAGCCCCTCTGATGCTCCTGTGCCCAGTGCCGCTCATGATGACAGTATTCTCAGGTAAATGCCTTAGACGCTCTCATCCAAAGTACCTCACAGTATTGAATGCACATATTATTCATGTTGAAAATAGGAATTAACTTTATTATTCACTTACAAAATGAACCTACCTGCCATACGTGGAGTTCCATGTATTTAGTTCAAATTAGGTCAGAGACTCTGGTCAGCTTTTGTTATGACTTTATTGTTACACCACACACTGCTTGCTTGAATAGTTGCCTGTGTTTTGTGTCTCTTAGAATGACTGTTTTTAAACCCATGATTTGCTGACCTTTTTGCTCAATTCTGTCTGTCTACTTGCGTTCCCCTGCAGGCCGAGTATGAAGCTGGTCAAGTTCAAGAAGGGAGAGAGTGTCGGTCTGCGGTTAGCAGGCGGGAACGACGTGGGAATTTTTGTGGCAGGAGTTTTGGAGGACAGTCCTGCAGCCAAGGAGGGGCTGGAGGAGGGAGACCAGATTCTCAGGGTACGCTACACTCCATCACTTAAGCAACACGACTGTTATTTGCCTTCTGCAGATACTTGACCGGACTTGGTTTATGAAATAGTGTTGAGGGAATAAGAGAATCCCAGTTAACTCAGCTGTGTTTTGCCAGGGAAACCTGATTTGTCATGTACCCTATATTCTTCTTCAGTTTTTAGATGTGTACATGTACATGGCAAATATTTCAGAGGGGGAGAGTATTGCAAATGCTGCGGTGGGTAGAAAGGAAAGACCATTTGTCTCTGCTTTGATTCAGACTAAAACTGAAATAAGTAGATCACAGTTGGTTTTCACAACTGAAGTGGACTATTTATAAACTTCTGTAACTGTCCTCTCCTACAACTGAGGGTCTTCTTTCATTGCACAGTCAATGTGCTCCAAGAAAAACAACTCCTCAGGCTACATCATCATATATCAAATATACCAGCTTTTCTTTAAAAAAAAAAATGTAAAAAAAGAGGACATTTTTGCAGGTTTTACACTTAGCAGGGATATGTAAATGTGTTCTCTGACTTGCTTGTCTACTTCACATGCACATATATATACTGACTGCGGCTGAAGTAGATCTTCTCATTTCAATGCTTTGTAATTTCAATGTGCTGTCCTACTATTATGTAGCTTGTAAGACTATTATAAGGTATTGTTTTCTGTCAGAGTTCATTGCTATTTTTTTTTCCACGTCACATGTATGAAAGTGGGAAGAACATCTGGTGTTATTGTCAAAATAGACAAGCCATAGCTGCCCACACTAACTTAGATAATCAGTGGTGAAACTATGCGATCCCATGGTCACAATAGTTTTAATTCTGTGTAAAAGGTTCTTGGGAATAGAGTACAATGTATCCATCAGTCTGTGAGTCATTCCCAGGCTGTGCCTCGTGTCAGAACTCCCCTTGTTTCCAATGTGAAAACACAATAGAGGTCGTTCTTGCACTCTGACCTCGGAACAGTTGACTGTCTGTTTAACTAAATACTAGAGTAACATTGTTGATGGGATGATGGAAACCCTCTTGATGTCAGTGTTGGATTCATTGTGACATGTTTATACAACAGTCAAGGATTACACCTGCTGTCACTGTGAAGGTCTGTACTTCAGCTTGTACTGTGCAATAGCACAAGCTGAACATTTTTTCCCCATGACATTAACATTTACAAACTGTAGTTATCTGATAAACAAAGGTATGCTTGACCTTATCTCCTTCTTTTAATTAATATACAATGCTATGCCCCCCCCGCCCCCCCCCCCAGTCCAAAGTGTAGATCTCGTTTTGTTCCTGTGTGTGTTCTTCCTACTGTACAAACACTTACAGACTTCCAGGACACTGTTTTTCATCTTTAGGCCATTTCCCTTTGGTCACGGTGTGCTAGTAGAGACAAAGACGTCAAGCCCTCCTGTTTCTGGGAAGAATAAAGGTGTCTCTCTGAGGTTCAGTGACTCAGCCCATGTGTTTCTGCTTCCCCTGCTGCCCCTCAAGCAGAGTCAATAAACAGCAGTTATTGTGTTTGGGACAGCAGCAGGAGATGCGGAGGAGGCTGCTCAGTTGTAGGGGGAATACACCTCCCTGCTTCTGTGGAGGAACAAGTTTTCCTCTGTTTCTATTAGTCTGTGAGAAACTTAATGAAAAATAGGGCCTAGGATGTGTTTTATTTGTTTTTTTGAGAAGAAAAAATAAAGAAAGTTGTTAAAAGTTGGAAAAACAGAAGGAGGGTATGCTTTAATCCAGTAGCTTTCATCATAGTTAAAGCATTTAAACGAAACTAAAACTTATTAGGATCAAGTCAGCCTACAATGATTATAAAAACTATATACAATTAAAAGTTTATAATTTGCTGTGATAGTTCACTAGTTCTTCAATTGCATTCTAAAGTAATCTCTGCTGCCTCTTCTGTTCGGCATGTGTAGGTGAACAATGTGGACTTTGCTAACATCATTCGAGAGGAGGCTGTGCTGTTTTTGCTGGATCTCCCAAGAGGAGAAGAAGTTACTATTCTGGCTCAGAAGAAAAAGGATGGTGAGTAATGGCAGTGTAAACACAACAGGTATCAAAACCAGCTCATTAAAGGGTTCCTGTAATCTTCTCTGTTATCTTCTGCTTTTTCTTCAGTGTATCGGCGGATAGTGGAATCGGACGTGGGGGACTCCTTCTACATCCGGACGCATTTTGAATATGAAAAAGAGTCACCATATGGCCTGAGCTTTAATAAGGGCGAGGTGTTCCGTGTAGTAGACACTCTCTACAACGGCAAACTAGGCTCCTGGCTCGCTATCCGCATTGGCAAGAACCATCAGGAAGTGGAAAGGGGCATCATCCCCAACAAGAATAGGTAAAAGAAGTTTCAGGTCACACCTTTAATACCTGTACAGCTTGTTCTGGCACTTAATGAATGGGAAAAGGTGGAGCCAGAGTATTAAAGCACTCTGGTTGATCTCGGAGTAGAAAGGAAAGATTTGAGTGCAGTTCATTTCCATTTACTCATTTGTTTTATCTACTCTGTATTTTACACATTTATCATGGTTTTTACAGCTTATTATTGTTTTTCCGTAATTTTGTTTAAGAAAAATCTTCAGTTCTGTGTCATAGTCTTTTGGGTACTAGAAGTGTTTTTTAAAGTTGGGTATATTTAACACATCCCGTGTGTCAGGCAGATGGTTAATAAGGATCTCTTGTGTGAGGTTTTGACTGATGAGATGTTTACTGTACATCATGATCTAGCCCACAGCACCATTTTGTCTATGCCTGTCTCAATAGGACTTTAACAGGCTCCAGCAGTGTTTATATAAATTCCTCACTGTCCTGCTGATAGAAAAGAGAGAGCATGCATTTTTATCACATACATTAAGCCCTATGAAATATATCTCTGCTCCTCAGCCAAGTTAAACCTCTCTGTCTTGATATTCTTTCAAAGTATGAAACCATGAAATTACAGCCAGACATCAGTAATATTTAAAAATATTTAGAATAATAAAAAATTTTAAAAACATAAATCAAAGGAAGGCCATTATTATTCAAAGCCACTAGGAATTAATTATTCTCCCCTTCTCCCCTCCCTCACCTTACCTCTTATCCCTGTGTGTTGTTTTCCAGTCACTTTTTATGTTTAAAAAAAAAAAAAAAATATTGGCCTATCTTCAGTGATTTAATTACATACATTTTAGGAAATGGATACTGCAGAAGATTTATCAAAAATTCATGGTTCGCAAATGTGTAATGGTGTAAAGTATGTCAGTATTTTATAGATAAGGCATGTTATTGCACTGTAAGATCTTACCGTAGTATACTGCAATGATATTGGAGCATCTCTTAAATGTGTTTATCACAATAACCTGTGGCATTATCTTGAGAAAATAACTCACGTTTAAAGTAATGGCTTTTGCGAATATTAATGTTATTTCCCAAGACATAAGCCTTTAGTTCACAGAAAAATATACTGACTTGTAGAATAATTTAACTCTTCATAATGTGAATATTGAGCTATAAATTATATTGTTGTAGCCCTCAAGACAGCATTTCAATGAACCTAAATATAGAATGGCTATTTTAAAACATGTAAAATTTCTAATGCATCATCAGCTTTTTTTCAGTTAGTGATGGCAAATCCTCAATAATCAGTTTGACAACGATTTACAGTTCAGTACTGTTCAATGGTGTTACAATTATAGTACCAATATTAACCATGGTTTTTTTGGTCCAAACAGTAGTAAGCTTAATGCTGAATAAATGAATTTTTGCTAAAAGTGGCCGAGGTTGCAGTTGTGACTGAAGTCCTTATTCCCTCTCTTCTTTGTACAGAGCTGAACAGCTGTCCAGTGTGCAGTACACCCTCCCCAAAACACCAGGAGGCGACAGAGCGGACTTCTGGAGATTCCGAGGATTGCGAAGTTCCAAGAGGAATTTGCGGAAGAGCAGGGAGGACCTGTCAGCCCAGCCAGTTCAGACCAAGTTCCCTGCCTATGAAAGGGTGGTGCTGAGGGAAGGTGAGTGTGCAGAGTCATAGCAATCAACCGAAGACTCCCATATATCTTATTTTAATTATTAGAACAATGATTTACAAAGTGGAGGACAGATTTCAACTTTATAGCTAAAAGAAATACAAGGTTGTCCCTGATGCTTGTGTGGTTGAGCTAATTGACCACTGGTCATGGGTATTAAGTTCTGCTGTGTACGTTTACAAAGGACATAATGTTATGTAAACTTAAGAACACAGCATAGATACTTAAATTTCTATCAGTTATATAGACAGTGGACTGGTGGGTTTGCTTCACTTTGCTCCTCCTCTGATTATCTGTGCTTGATGGTTTCTATGGCGGTGCAGTTAAATGAAACAGCACTTATGCATTTTACATATCAACAGTTACTGTGTACTGTGTACTGTGTACTCTTAGTACTGTCTGTTACATGATGCTATCCTTTGGTCATCTCCATGATGTGCTCTTGTTGCTGTGCAGCTGGGTTCCTAAGGCCTGTGGTTATCTTTGGGCCAATAGCAGATGTGGCCAGAGAGAAACTGGCCAGGGATGAGCCAGAAGTTTTTGAACTAGCAAGTAAGTAATACAGTACTCGTCTTCCTCTGGTCTAACCTTCATCTTTTGTGTAGTGTCCTACGCATCTTGGATGATAGGTGACCAGACTCTTAATTAATGCATCACACATCGCTAACGCTGAGGGCTGCTTAACTTATCAGATATTCACAATAGTGGTTAGTATCCAATAGATGCTGAAATCACTGTTGGGTCAGTGCCTCTCTTGTTTCCAGTGAAAATAGATATTCATTAAGCATCACTACTGCCTGTGACTTTCTTTTCTACTTTTTAACTGTGCTGTTCTGCTGTAAGGATTGACACAACAATGCATTGACAAACAGTACTTTATTGTATTTATCAAAAGTGTCAAGTATCAAAATTTGGTAGTTAGCTGTAAATTTATATGACTGATAGTTCTATAAATACAACAACCCCTGCTGTTTCCATGTAGTTGGTATTTTTTTCCTTAAATCTTCAACCTTTTTCTATAGAAATAGATGGCTGCTGGTCAAATGCTATAAAACGTAACTCTTTAAAATCCAGCAAATAGTCATTATCTATCGGATTCTAACCAAGCTCAAAAAATATTTTTCCACTGAGTTTCTTTTTTAAGAGAGACGCCATTCTGCTTTACTCCAATTTACTCCAATCAGGCTGTGTCTGTTTTTTCCTCTGTTTATTTATAGGGTTCTCTTCCCTTTTCACTGTTTATCTTTTACTCTTCCACACTCCAAGCAGAGCTGCACACTCCTTCCTCATCTGCCTCCTCTCACCTGATGATATTGCAAACGTCTTTAATGTGTGGTTGTTTTATTTCAACAATCAGTTTTGAATTTCAATTACTTTAACAGCACAAACACACATGCCAGCACAACCAGACATATTCAGTACACACCCACATAAACAGTGATTCCATTCCTTGATGTTTATTTGCGCAACTACAGTGATGTTTGTGTAACTGTATTTTCTTTTCAGAAACACAGCAACAACAAGGAGGGGAAAGTATGTCACTTAGTGCATCAACTTTTGTTTGTTTGATTTGATTCAGTGAATGGCAGATAATCTATAAAGTAGTGTCTGGTGGCTAGTTGCCTATTTAGTAGATGTTTAAAAAATATCCATTGTCTGGTTACAGGGGAATAACACTTGATTCAAGAATTTCTATTTGTCATCACAATCGGCAGTAACAGTCCTATCAGTATATTTCAACTATGATAGCCAGTGTTACACAGCTAAACACAGACCTGAGACTAAAGAAACATAGTATCACACTGACACACAGGTTGTGCTTTACACAAGGAAAAAGAGACTTTGTTTTTGTTTTTTATTTTTTGTAGGAAGAAAGTCTACTCCTGAAATTACAGTTAACTTTAAATCATTTTCAATAATGATATATCAACTAATGATTGAACGAAATCTGTTTACACTTAGCGCATGTAAAACCATTTGGGATGTTGTCAACATTGATAAATAGACACTTTGCTCTGCTGCATGATTTGGATTTAATAGAATTGCTACTCTACGCACTTTGGGACAGTGTGTCAGTGTGATGTCTTCTCCTGTCCCTAGTTATAGAAGAGATAAGTAAAGGTTGATAAATGTTAACTATACTTAACTGCACACGAAAATTATTTTATAATTAAACTCAGTGGTATTCCCCTCTTTAATGTAGGTTGCATCATATAGAATGACAACAGCAAAGCGGCATGTTGAGCTGTGCAGATTAATATGCAGTGGAAACTGAGATGTGTGTAGTGGTCTTTTAAATGTTTTACAAACCCTATTTACAATTAAATGGAAAAGCCAAAGTATAGAAACTGTATAATGGCATTTACTAAATAGACTGGGAATATTGACTTTATTTGAACATTTCTATGGATTTTTCAACCTTCTTTTTCCCCCTAATTTGCCCATAAAATACATCACAGAAACACATGATAGCACATCAAAATGGCCATTAATTCCAGTTAACTGGAGGCTCTCATCAGTGGTTAAAGCAGACCCATTTTTGAGGCTTTATGTAATACAATTTGCTATATGAGCGTTTAGAGTTGTCAAACTCATCCATATATTTTCTCACACCATCAAAATGCACCATGATGGATTCATTATATCTTTGAAAATACCCAGAAGACCTTACACATTGTTATCATGAACTAGGATGAAATAGTTAACATCTCTTGAAAAAATAAAAAGCATTTATCATATTTGTAGGGTGTTCATATGCTAAAATCTCTGTGTATAACCCTGCATGTAGAGCAGAATTGGGTTCAAGTAAGTGCAGGACCAAAAATTAATTGGTATAAAATGAGATCATAATTCATCAATCGATGCTTCAAAATTCAGACTGCAGTTCAAAGTGGACTTGCACTACTACTACAACTAAGTGTGATGCTATTCACAACTTAAGTCAGATTTTGTACAAAGCTGTCAGTGTTTGTCTGTCCGTCCCAGTTTTCCCAATGCAGTAATGGAAGTATAAAGCCCATGATTGTCAAAGTCTGACAGATCAATGTCCCAATCACTGTCAAAAATGATCTTTTAAAATTCTGAAAAACGAGGACAGTACTGAATCACAACATTTACTGTTGAACATTGCTGCATATGCTTGAACCTCTGCATGCATGGCTGTATTTATCTGGTCTTTATGAAACATCTTAATGTTTTGGATAGCCACAACCAGTGTTTGCCATCCTAGATCCTATTAGAATATTACAAATTAAGCCTGGCTCCAGTTGGAGTCATTACTATACTGAACATCCTGATGAGATGACTGGTCTCATTTGAACCTTGTGTTTCTAGGCAGGAAACCATTGCTTATCTTTGTTTAAATCAAACCCCCCTCTACACATCCTTGCTTAAATCCCTGAGGCTTCAATGACACTGTATTCTCATTAAACCAAAATTACCCTTCTGCTCTTGTATGTGCATATTTCATGTCGGTGTTTTTCACATAACACATTTTCTGCACCATAATTTATACTGTTACATGCAGTTGCACGCACACATTGATTATACACTGAATTTAATTTCCCTAAATCTACCCAAACTACCTAATGACTATTGCATGGATTGGCTGCTGTTCTCATTTTGACTTTACTATCTAGCTGTTTTCATGAACGCACACTTGTCTTCTCCTGTACGGAGATTATTATTCTGTATTTAACAGCTCTGTTTATGGGAGTCGACAACTGCACGCTACTAGGATGTCTAATTGGTGCACAGCGTGTGCTTATTGTTGTTTGTGTCTCGTGCTGATGTGAGGCCGTAACTCTGTCCATTTGTCTTCCATAGAGAGTGAACCCAGGGATGCAGGAACGGACCAGAAAAGCTCCGGCATCATTCGCCTGCACACCATTAAACAGATCATTGACAGAGTGAGTGAATCTATATGTACACACACATTGATATAAAATTACACAAAATGCAAAAAATAGCGATGTTAACATATTCTAACATATTCTATTCTGTATTCTTGTTGTGTTAAGGAAAACATGGCAATGATACACAATAACATGCACAACTCACTGCTGCCCTCTGGTGTACCTCATTCTTTAATACTATTAGGCGCTTGAAGCGCAGCAAAGTGGTGAATTTTACTGTGGCCTGTTCACTTGAGAAGCTAATCCAGATTGGTAAAATAACCTCAAGTGTTCAAGATCTGCTGCACACAATATGTGAAAAAACCATTAGTGCCAGATTGTGCTCTATTTTTTATAGTCATTAGCTTAGAATAAATGCTCAATATATGGACAATAAACACATTTATGTTTTATGTTTATGTCTTATTTGTTTTTTATTTATGAAGGACAAGCATGCAGTGCTGGACATCACCCCTAATGCAGTGGACCGTCTCAACTACGCTCAGTGGTATCCAATTGTGGTGTTTCTCAACCCAGACACCAAGCAGGGTGTCAAGAACATGAGGACCCGCCTCTGCCCTGAGTCTAGGAAGAGCGCCAGGAAGCTCTATGATCGAGCCCTCAAATTAAGAAAGAACAACCACCATCTCTTCACTAGTGAGTCCAGTGCAAGGGAGAGAGGGAGGAATAGATATGTCATCTACAGGGAGGGAGAAGGGGATGGTTTGAATGTCAGAGATTTCACAGGGACACATGTCGCAGGCAGTTGACAATTGAGTGCTGCAGTGTTGAGGCTGTGGCTACACTGCACCTGTTGTGCCTGGCCCTGTTCTGTCAAACTCTGTTTAAAGGCTTGTTCAGCACTGACCGTCACACAAGAGCACCCCCAGGCCCCTTTCTCAGCAAGCACTTTTCCTATCAGGGGATGAGGTGTGACCATGCTTTAGGAGCATCTGTTGCTGATAAAGATATTTGAGAGGTCCTAGAAAGTATTCCTCACAGTTTACGTTCAGTCATTGTATTACACACACTGGGTTAAGATGAACTTTTAATCATGATGCTATGGATGTTCTGAAAATGTTGTAAATGCTATAATAATTGTTAGTACTCATTTGATTGGAGAGATGTTTTTTTTTCTCTCTTTTGCTCCTCCTTCTTTGTGAATCCAGCAACCATTAACTTGAACAGCATGAATGATGGTTGGTTTGGAGCACTGAAAGAGATAATCCAGCAGCAGCAGAACCAGCTGGTGTGGGTTTCAGAGGGCAAGGTAAGACAAACACACACACAAACACAAACAAAAATATAGATAGCTAGATAAATAGATAGTCAGATAGATGGGGTACTTTATTAATCCCAAAGGGAAACTGATAACTGGAATTTAACTGAACTAACTTTTCTTACTCCCTCTCTCACTTAATTCTCTCTCTCCCAGGCTGATGGGGCAGCTGAGGACGACCTGGACATCCATGATGACCGTCTGTCCTACTTGTCGGCACCAGGTAGTGAGTATTCCATGTACAGCACCGACAGCCGCCACACCTCCGACTACGAGGACACAGACACAGAGGGCGGAGCCTACACTGACCAGGAGCTGGACGAAACACTGAATGACGATGTGGGCCCACCCACGGAGCCTGCCATCACCCGCTCCTCCGAGCCTGTTCGTGAGGACCCGCCTGTCATCCAGGAGCCCCCTGGCTACGCTGGCTACACAGTGCAGCCGGACCCCCTGAACCGCATCGACCCGGCTGGGTTCAAGGCACCAGTGCCGCAGCAGGTAGCGTTTCTGAGAGCTGTACGTCTCCCCTGTTGTCTGGAGGACGTGGTGTGCGTTAGAAGGGTTTTCTGGAGGCGCTATTGAAGGCACCTTTTTTATTTTTACAGTTATTCTGTCTATCTACAAAACAATATCAGTGGGAAAGTGAAAACTTTTGTGGTCAGGTATTTATTGCAATATATAAATATAAAATTATACATATATATATATATATATATATATTCGATATATATAATATTTATTTAATCTATTTGCCTCTATATGTTTGTCGATTGATGTTTGTGAGCGTGTGTTTTTTATTTTTGAAAAGGAGAAGAACTTGATAAGTTCTACTGTTACTCTTGTACTCTGTATTAACACAAGCTGTCTTATCAGTGTGACTGTCGCTGATGTCACCGGGAAAAGAAACTTATATTTGTCCAAGTGTCTGTATCAGTACTCACCTATGTGCACTTCCTCCGTTTGTTTTACCTGTGATTGGGACTGTAACGATATGACACCAGAAAGTATTATGTGCATGTTGGCAATACTCGTGTTAATCCAGTGTAACTGTGAAATGTATTAATCAATACCCGATTGGCCGTGTGATACCCAAATCTAAACATTTGTCGTCTCATGATGTGTTAATGAACATAAAAAGGGAAAAAATTACTGTATTGTAACCGTAGAATTAAAATCACAGCAGTATTCTCTAACAATGAAAACTTGTCCTGCTGCTAATTCCTAACTCTCACATGCCATTGGTTGATCTACAGCTACTGTTAAATGTCGAGGCAGGTTATTGGCTGTTTGTAGGAGCAGACCGATGTAGAGCGGCTATGAAGGTAGTAGCACTTGTTAGTACTGCACCGTAGTGTGTCAGCGCGTGTTATTAAACATTTCTGAACCACTTCACAGAAAGCAGAGGCCGCTGCCGTCCCTAGCATCCCCCAGCAGCCTGAGCCCCTGGCTGAGACAATGCCCCCTGCTGTCGACGTTACTGTAAAAACTGTAGGGGGTCTGAGCCCTGACGAGGCTCCTGCAGCTCCCCACAGCCAGCCAAGCCCCAACCCAGAGGCTGGCTCACTTAGGAGGCCCTCCCCCCAGCTAGCCCCTCAGAGCGTCACACCAGAACCTCTACAGTCTGGACTGGCCAGTTCCGAACCAAAGGTATCCATCTGACCGTCTCTGGATGCTCCGTGACCCGGCCCAGCTCAGCTCAGCTCGGTCTGACCTGGCTGACCGCCTGTGCTGCTGCTGCTGCTTCCTGTCTACCTACCTACCTCCTGCTGCCACGCTTCTCTCTCTCTCTCTCCTTCCGCCCTGCATGTGTGCTGACCACAGTGCTGCCCAGAAGAGACAGAGATGTGTGTGTGTGTGTGGCGGGTGGTGTGTGGGTGGGGTGGGTGGTGGTGGGGGGGGGTGTATTGTGCGTGCGGGGGTGTGTATGTGTGTGCACGTGCCAGAGTGTGAGCAAACACTGGTAAACAACAGTGGGCTTGGAGGTGATGGCTGTGCTATTATGCCTACATGTAGAAGAGCAGTGGAAATCCTGCAGCTCTCACTGTTGCTTATCCTCTCTGCATGGCTGCAACAAGTTTGCCTCATTCTCTGATAACCACTAGAAGTAGATCTGTTTGTGCTGTATTTATCAGTCAGATTGAATGGATTGTTTCCTTGTAAAAGTAGCCAATAATTTTCCAACCATTTTATCTATATTTTGAAAAACGGCTATTCCAAAGTAACAAAGACCATCTAAAGAGAAACTTTCTTTAGATTTGGATGGATAATTAATGGTTACTTCTTAAATATGAGTATTTAAATATGTTTTTATACAATGGGTTTGTGCTTGTAATTTTAAATATTATTGTGGATGTTTAAGTTGCCTTTATAATTGCATCAAGACAGTGGGTGACATTTCCCCTTGTGAATGCTGCAGTGCACACATAATGTGTGATGAAACCACAAATTATTAGTCAAATTATTGATCAACTCTCTAAAATTAGTTTACATTACATTTCTATGATCGATTTTCATATTTTGTCAGATGGGACAAAGGAACCCAAAGGAGTTAAGAAAAATGGAACCCATTGTTTTGTTGTATCTTTTAAACCACTTTGTTGTTCTTTTTTTAATTTAATTTCAGTGTTTTATTTGAGGTTGCAGAACATTGTGATATTTTAAGCTGCAATGAGTGTTTGGCTGTGCTGCAGTTTCTGTTTAATCTAATATACTATCTGACCAGTAACCCCTCCCTCTCAGTTTCTCTATTTCAGGTCTTTCCCTTCTCGTTTTCCTCTTCTCGAATTAATTTCTCAGACTTGTTTTAATATTCTCCTTTTCGCATCCTTTAACTGACTTTTTGTATGTCCAGTTTATATCACATATTTTATATCAATGCAGTATGTTAGTGGATCCTTTGCAGTTGTTAACCTTGTTCTTTGTTGTCTATTTGTTCGGTAGATGTTTCAAAAGGATCCATACAACACAGACAACACAGGGCGTATCGGTGGTCACAGCATGAAGCCTGTGACTTTCAACCCTCAGCAGGGATATCACCCTGACCAGCAGCCATACAGAGATTACGACCACCCACCCAGTCGGTATGATGTCAGCAGCAGTGGAGTCAGCAGTGGAGGTGGTTACCCAGAACCAAAGTACCGTAACTATGACTCTAACCCACCCTATGAGAACAGTGTGCCTCACTACGACCAGCAACAGTGGAACCCCTACAACCAGCCGCTCTCTACTGCCAACTCCCAGGGCTACGATCCCCGTTTGCCGTACAGTGATGGCCCTGAATCCCAGTACACCCCTCCTCTCCGCTACGACGAGCCCCCACCTCAGCAGGGATTTGACGGGCGGCCTCGCTATGGTAAACCAACAGGTCCAGGGCCTGTCCGTTACGATGATCCTCCACCTCCTGCCCCAGGGCCTGACCTGCACTATGACCAGGATTCTCACTTGAGTACGTACCCCACTGCTGCCCGCTCCCCAGACCCTGCTGCCCAGCGGCCTGCCTATAACCAGGGACCATCACTGCAACAAAAAGGCTACAAACCTCAGCAGTACGACCCCGTTCCTGTTAACTCTGAAACCAGCCCCACACCTCCTCCCAAGGCAGAGGCCCCCTCAACTTCCCCTGTGGAAGCTCCAAAAGCCGCACCCGCCAGAGACGAGCAACAGGAGGATGACCCCGCCATGCGGCCCCAGTCAGTCCTGACAAGGGTCAAGATGTTTGAGAACAAACGCTCTGTGTCTATGGACCGAGCCAGGGATGCAGGGGATTCATCTGGGAACAGGGTAAACTGTTTATCTTTGTAGATATTTATAGTTTAGTTATAGTTATAGTTCTTGTGAAATTGGCACATTAGAGGTGAACATTGATCATTCTTATCTTACTGATAAGGTTTATTGCTTTTACAGGCAGCTGATTTACCCTTGAAAGCAGGTGGAGTAATCCCTAAAGCAAATTCTCTGAGCAACCTGGATCAAGAGAAAACCTTTAGGTAAGCCCAGGCTTATGCTGCTTGCACTGTTTTCACTCACCCTGATTTAAGTAATATGAGAATAAAAGTGTGTAATTAGTCACTTTAGTTTTCACATCATTGACCAATAAACTCAACTACCTTCATTTTGGCAGTTTGTCATTGTAAATTCTCCACGTGCTCTGCTCTCACCATCTCCGCCTTTCATTTTACCTACTTGACTTTTTTTTGTCGCATCAACCCAGAGCCCCAGAGCCGCAAAAGCCTCAGTCCAAGGTAGCTGATGATATTGTGCGCTCCAACCATTACGACCCTGATGAGGACGAGGACTACTACAGGAAACAGCTGTCTTACTTTGACCGACTCCAAGCTGGCCCCAACAAACCCCAGCCACAAGCACAAACAACCCACAACTACCCCAGGTAATGCTCACTCCCATCTACATTTCCAAACATCTCTGATTATAATGTTGTCATGAAACATCTTGGGCTTTTTCCTCTCAGATTAGATAGATGAAGGTTTCCTTTGCACTAACTTTAACACCCCTTATGGTTTTTTGTATTTATGTCTTGATCATATCTGCTTTGAATCTCAAATCGATGGTTTTGGTCTTGTGATACAGGACAGAGTCGGTGGAGAAACCAAGTCCAGTGGAGAAAAAATATGAACCTGTTCCCCAGGTGACACCATCTCTGCCACCAGCCACACTGCCCAAACCCTCACCTGAAGGTAAAACTTATTCAATTTAATTCAACATTTTAAAGGAAAAAAACATACACAGCAGGTAGTGTCTCCCAAGAGACTTGTACATGATTTCATACAAATAAAAACAAACTCAGAGATCCATACTACAGAACTCTTTGGCTGACTCTTGTGGCTCTTCCACAGCCAAACCTCCTGCCCGAGAGGACACTGTCCAGACCAACTTCCTGCCTCACAAGAGTTTCCCTGAGAAGTCTCCAGTTAATGGCACAAGTGAGCAGCCTCCAAAAACAGTCACTAGCACCGGGGCTCCACCAGCATCCAGCTACAACCGCTACACGCCCAAGCCCTACACCACCTCTGCCAAGCCTTTTGCACGCATGTTCGACAGCCCCAAATTCAACCACAACCTTCTGCCCAATGACAAGCCTGACACTGCTCCAAAGGTAAGCAGATTGAGGCATCATTTTAGTACAGTAAAGAGGGTCAAATAAAAAAGCATTAATAAAACAGCCAGTGTGAATTAAACAGTGGAAATGCTGAAATACTATCAGTAATCAACACTAATAATAATAACGTTAACAGAAATAAATCATGTTTTTTCAAAACAGAATTACTATGTGCTTCACATATGACATGGTAGATAAAACCAGACAATTAATAATACAAAAATAAAATGGAATAAAATCCCCAGCAATAATATATTTTATATTAAAAATAGATTTAAAAGACCTGTTGGAAAAAAAATAGTGTCCTAGCATTAATAAAAGGCTTTTTACTTTTTACACACATTATGAGAATAGATTTAAACAATGCCACAAATTCTGTTTTTTTCTGTAGTTGATCCAGAAATGTGTATGAAAACATTTGGTTGCATTTTTAAAAAAAAGTCAACTCCCAAAAAAAAAAACAGCTATGTTGCGAGCAGATTGATGTTGTCACAGTGCTGTAGATAACTCTTGACCCTTGTGTTTGGAGCAGGGCCGGAGCTCCAGCCCAGTGAAGCCTCAGGTAGCTCCACAGCCCCAGAACACAGACCATGACAGTGGTCTGGACACCTTCACGCGCACTATGGACCACCGCTCCAAATACCAGCACAACAACATCAACGCTGTTCCCAAGGCCATCCCTGTGAGGTAACAACCTCGGTCTGACTACTGACTAAATTGAAAGTGTTAGGAGTGTTAGGTTGAATATAAAAGTGTGACAGCAAAGTTATCTGTCTCCCAGCCCCACTGCCCTGGATGATGATGATGATGAAGATGAGGGCCACACTGTGGTTGCAACGGCCCGAGGTATCTTCAACTGTAACGGTGGCGTCCTGAGCTCCATTGAGACAGGTGTCAGCATAATAATCCCACAGGGTGCCATACCTGACGGGGTGGAGCAGGAGATCTACTTCAAGGTCTGCCGAGACAACAGCATCCTGCCACCACTCGACAAGGAGAAAGGTAACTTATCAGAGATGGAGGGATGAAGAAGCCAGAGGGTTTTCTTTATTCATATCTAAATTATTGGATGCTTGACAAAGCCAGTTCAAACGATCTGTCATTTTTGTTTTTCAAAATTTAATTGTGCTTGTTGTCCTTTGGGGCGATGTGCTGGATCTAAAGTAGGATTGTGCCGATTGACGTTATAATGACTATGCTGCTCCACTGCTGACTCCACTACTATATAGACTCATTCGCCAATTACTGATGTCGCTGTCGATTTTTAAAATTATAAGTATCTATAATCAATATTTTTGAACAAACAAACATTTTATAAGATGATAATGGAAAATCAATGCGTTCACAGTGATGAACCTACATCGAATTATCACCTGAGTCTTCAGCTACCCTCAGTTTTACTGAGCTTAAGAGTGAGTCTCAGCTCAATGTTTAGCTCTCCAGTCTGTAAATTTACTCTTTTGGCTCACTCTCATCGCTCTCATAGCGTCATTTTCAGATATTTTCATCTCCAAAAACCCACTCCACACTATCTGCTCAGCACCTAACAGCAGGCAGACACAATGAGTGAACAGCTGAGTAACAAAGTGAGGCACTTTGCAGCTTAAGAGCCAGATATTCCCCTCATGAGTTGGTAGAGACCAAAAACAGCTAAAAGAGAGTGAATATTGGACGTATATTTGCCAGATGACCAGAAACACGGCTCTAAATGAATGATAATGTTCCTCTGTAACTGCTGGATGTGTAAATAAGCCACTTTTTGCTAACAAGTTCCCCGTATCAACTTAAAAGGTGATGATATGTCAGTGTTGTGTTCACAATCTGCATATGAATCAATATTTTTCTTGCATAGATGGGCACACAAGGGATCAAAACCTCATTTCTGACTAACAGATTCCCAGTGATACAAAACCACAAGCCGACGAGAACTGTTGAGACAAAGTGCATTCAAGATGTGCTTGTGTATATAATTGTTATCATCCTGAGTTTATAACCATGCTCTGTGTTTGTGTTTACAGGAGAGACTCTGCTCAGCCCTCTGGTGATGTGTGGACCTCATGGCCTCAAGTTTTTGAAGCCTGTGGAGCTACGCTTACCTCACTGTGCGTCAATGACCCCTGATGGTTGGTCTTTTGCTCTAAAATCCTCCGACTCCTCGTCGGGTATGCTGTGCTCTCTCTGTTCTTCCGGGGTCGTTTGGGCTGGCTGTGTGACAATTTGAGGGTTATGGGTCACTGTTTAATGAGATTTTACCCCTAGTTTTGGTTCTCCTCTTACTCAGATATCACTTACTCTAAATTTTTCAAACAAAATAATAAAAAGATATAATGAATAATGAATTCTCACAATACCTGAGAGCCAATCTAGGGGGAAAATCTATGTTTTTCATATTTATGGCTTTGGGTTGAATCATTTTCATCATTTGTACTAGTTAACTCACCCACACAATCTCTCATTTGCTGCATCACTGGTTTTCTTTATGTGGTATTTATTAATTTTACATGCTGAAATTGCAGTATTTCTCTCTTGGTTTTCACCTCTGAGTCACCTTAACAAGTTTTTCTTATTTCATTTAACATGCATGCACCAGATGCTTGGCTGTATAATCATTTAATTTCATCAGGTAGAATTATACTGCATGCTATTCTGCTAAGAGTGATTTTCTCACATAGCCACCCAAATCCTGACCTGAAGAACAGCTTTTGCAGATCCTCTGGAAATTGGGACACTGTCATAACCAATAATGCCTGTCAAAAAAGTGAAAAGTTCCACAAAGGCATCTTGTTACCATGTTGAAATAGAGCTATCTAAATTTAGCTTCCTTCATCCCAGTGTCTTATTTCAAGGTACCTTTCAGGTGTATGAAAACAGGTTTCCTTGTTAATTGGTTTTTCAGACTGACCTCAGTTTGTTTGCAAAAATGAATCTGGTTGTTAAATTGGATCAGGGAAAGATGTATGCAAATATATAAACCATTTACTGCTCTCATTGGCTACAGGACATAAGCATTCGAGCAAATGTCTTAGAAGAACTGTAACTCTTCCATCAGCAAATTGTAATTTAGATGACTACACATATCATTTTCCCACCTTTTTTGTCCTGTTTGGTCTGTTTTTGAGACTTGACATAATAGATGCAGTAGTAACTGCAAACAATTAACCACCTAATGAAGAAGTAAAGCACTGTGTGAAATCCATATTTATCTTAAGCATTGAAATTGATCAGCAGTGTGTTCAGGACAGAAATTAGATGAAGAGAGAATGATGCACAGATCATGTTAATGGAAATCAAAACCAAGACAAACTACTTTCAATAGGGCATCATTTAATCAATAAGGTAACTGAGCAAACAAACTAACATTTGAGAAAGACCCTGGGCTCATATAGAAGTTGAACTTCTGCAAAGACAGAAAAAGAAGAACAGAGCAAATCTGAAGAAAGTAACTAATTTCACCTTACCCCTTTCTTAATACTTCTCATGCCCTGTCTTCAAAAACAGTGGTAATTTTGGCAGTGGTCAGAATTAGCTGTTAATTAGCCTCATTTTAAGGATGAGAGTTGGAGGGCTGAATGACATGTCCACTCACTCCATTGTCCTGCTGAATTGTGGGAGGATTATCAGGCTGCGTCGTAATCCTCTTATTGTAAAGCAAGGCCACTCTCTGGCCTCCTCCTGTCTCTTTCTGTGGTTTTCTATTCACTTTGATTCCCTGCTTCTCCTTTTTCCTCCTATACAACTCTCACATCTTACTACTGCTTCTCTTCTGTGTTTATGTTATTCTGTGGATCATTGTTTTAACTTACAGCTCTGTAAAAAACTGACTTCTGGTTAATGTAGAACAGGGTTTGATTTGAAAACCGCATGAAACTAATTAAATCTTAAACATTCCTTGATATAAACCACAGTGCTTTAATATATCAAATTATACAGTATCTTATTTGTCTGAAAGTCATACTTTTAAAGGTACCCTGTGGAGTTTTTAACCACGAGTAATTTTTAATGAATATGCAGACGATGCAGTGCACCTTGCCAACAGTTTCTCACTATTTCACTTATTATCTGGTGGTAGTAGTAACGTACCAACGAACCTAGCACTGTACCAGCAGACATCACCATGGACGCAGTAGTTTTACAACATTCTCATTAAAAGGGCCATTTACTGGAATTATTCTGGAGCTTTCAGACACTTCTGGTGGCCTTAACCAGCAGATGTAGCAAACTCACTGAAAAAACTATCTGCTAATGAAGGTCACAAGATGTTACTTCCAGGAAGTGGACCTCGTGCTACAAATTTTTGGTCAAATAACCTTGAGGAAGGAATTGCATTTGACATGTTTGTAAGGTCTTGAGGATACACTAGAACCAAAATGATTAGCTGATTAATTGATTAGTTGATTGACAGATAATTCATCAGTAACTATTTTGATAGTTGATTCATTGTTTCAGTTATTTTTCAGGCAAAAACGAGGAATGTGAATACGCCACCTTTGCCTCTGGGAAATTATAATAGGGATGTTTCCCTATTAGTATTACATTTTATAGACAAAACAATGAATCAAGAAGATAATTGTCAGATAAATTGATAATGACAAAAAAAGTGAGTTGCAGCTCAAGAATGAACAAAAGCTTTATGATGAGAAGTACTGAATGTAAATGTAAATGTTTATATTCTGTGCTGCCCAAAACTTTAAGATGCTGGCTTGCAGGCAGAAATCAGAGAAAGTCCACATACTCAAAACTCAGATGCATATTTTTTATTTGAAGTTCTAAAGATCATCGTTTGGGCCGACTGTCTTCTTTAGGATAGAGTTGTATCTATTCTGTTTATCATGTGTATCAAGACAGGCTGGACGTGGCTCTTTATTGGTGTCCTGGATACAGTCAGTCCCTAATATACGTAAGTTGACAGTTGTGAGAAAACAGTGGTAAAATCTGCAGTCATCCCTCCAAAACGGTTGTCCTTGATCGCACATCCACTGAAGGCCGATTTAGAGCTTTGATAACCAAAGAGAAGCCTGTGGCAAAATTCAGATCAAATTCTCACAATGTGACTGTTGTTACAATGCACACCTACAAACCAAACAATCAGAGTGGACATGAAATGACACAGAATACTGAGTAAAGTTCAGAGAAAAAAGACACACACACAATGGAGGTGACAAAAAAACAACAAGTTTGTGTGGCAGAGAAGAAAACCTTGCAGAGCTGACACAGATATGGCACAGATGGTTGACACGAGCTGATGATACGCCTGTGCCCCTGTGCTTTTTCTTTTTTATATTTACACTGCAGCGCTACGATCCACTGCGCATTCATCACACAATTTGACAGTCTGACAGAGTGAAAGGTTGAGACCAAGATTTGCTGCACAGTCTTAAGGCGCCTTTAAGGAAAGAATCCAAAGGATGAATGGTTGTCTGGCTGGCAAGGGTTGTTTTGGTCTTACCTAGAGTCAACATCAGCGCTAAGCTCAAGTATAGACCCAACTAGTTGTTTTGTGATTGGTCCAAACAGGAAACGAAAGATAGTCCATTTAACATTTCTCTGCAACACAAGGCAGCAAACAGGTGTAGGCTCCCTCTTAGTTCAACACACTTGAGAACTTCACATGGGCTTTGGTGTTGGACTACGTTTATATAGTGCTTTATTACTAGCTCTTCACACACCACTGGCAGTGAGCTACCATGCAAATGATGAAGGCAGTGTGACAAAACGTTGATCTCTAGAACTTAAAATTAAGGATTGCATCTGTGTGTGTGGCTTTCTCCCTCTTCCTTTTGCTTAGCATACCTCAACAGAAGATGGTCTTCTGATTACTGTTACATTTATCTCTTCCATATCACCCAAACTTAACCGCAAGATTAACAGTGGAAAGATCGGCAGTCCATCTCAATGAGGAGGCTCTATTTATACTGTCACATGTACAGTCTGTGTGTCTAGTATATCGATGGACCTCTGCCAAACTGGCTATGCTTACTTTGATTGATTACTGGAACTTTCATCTTGGCACAGACCTGTATGTTTATAATTGCAATTACACTGAGACCTCACAGTCACTGAGGCCTAATTTGCAGTCAACAAGAGACTGGGGACGTTCAATAAAAAAAAAGAAATTGCTTTTACTTTTCTATTTTGCTGCCGTGCTTGGACATAAGCCAAAAGCTCGCAATATCACTTAACATGGCTTGTAGACAATAGATATAATCGAGTTCTGCAGTCAATGCTGTTTTAAGAGTAGTTCATGACTTTGTTGTACAATAGATTTTGTGGTCAAGTGAGAAATGCTTATAAAATGCATCACAGCTTGAATTTCCCATCAAAAGCGGATGTTATTACTCACTGACCCCCTCCTCCATCTCCCGTCTCTCCTCAGGTGACCCAAAAAGCTGGCAGAACAAGTCTCTCCCCGGGGACCCCAACTATCTGGTGGGAGCCAACTGTGTTTCTGTGCTCATTGACCACTTTTAAGGATGGGCCAGCAGGTGTGATGTTACTGAATGTGGAACCATGGTGGATAAAATGAAGAGGATGGACACACGTACACAGGCGCGCGCACACACACACACACACACACACACACACACACACACACACACACACACACACACACACACACATACAGATACATGCACTCCAAACATACTGACACACACCACATTATGGAGTATGAAGAAGATCCAGTCAGTGCTGTTTACTGCACCCATGGATGAAGGCGAGACACTGATGATCATTACAAGCTGTTCTTTAAACTCTTTTTCCCAATTTGAAGTTTTGATGTGAAATGAAACCATTGATGCATGCCCCATGCCACTGAGGATTGACATTATATATACTGTAAGGCAATGTTTAATGTAATTTCTACATGAATATAGATGGATGGATGGCTTTTGAGGCAGCGTACATGCTTCAAAAATATTTATGCTATATATGCATACAGTATATATAGTAGTATAGTGAAGATTTACTAAAATTTTACTCATGGATTCAGTCAACATCTTGTTATTTTCCAGTTCAGGTGACTGAAAGCAAATATGTATCTCCACCTATTTTTTCCACATTGAGGGAACTTTAATAAAGGTTTGAGACAGATGTGAGATAAAACCAGAGATGGTGACATTTGCAAGTATCTGTAGAAGGAGCAAAAGCTGGATATGAACCCAAGCAGCACACTTTTAGAGACGTTCTTCCTTCCTCACCCCTTCCTTTACTCTTCCTTTTCCTACAGTAATATCTTGTAGCTTACTTTCTTACGGATTACCACGTCTCTCCTTCCAGCCTGAGGGAGATCTATGCATGTTCTTTGCTCAGGTCCAGTAGCCTCCTCAGTTCCTTCCTCACATCTATTTCTATCGCTCTCTCTCTCTTTCTCTCTCTCTCTCTCTCTCTCTCTCTCGCTCTCTCTTTTTCCTCTTTCTTCTCTTTCTATCTTTTTCTGTCTGTGCACTCTTGCACTCTCACACAAATAAGCAGTGATGCCTTATCTGCAGATTATTCACTTTTCATTAAGAAAAAAAATAAGTTATGATAAATTATGGTATAATGTCATTTGTTTTGCCATTTCATTTTTTGTGAACCCACTGTATAAATGAACTTGGGTTTAGCTCACAATAACAGTTGATAAAGGATAACAAAGGTATGCTCTTCTTTTATCTGCTATGCATTACTTAAATAAAAGATAAAAAAAACAACAAAAACAAGAAAACAGAAAAGAAGTGGCTGTAAATAAAGCTAGCATATTGCCTTGTTTCTTTTGTTTGTAAATGAACTTTTTGTATGTCTTTCTTTTTTGTATAAAACTTAGAGAAAACATGTTTTAAAAAGTGGAAGAAAGTGAACGTGGTTATCTTTGTATTCTGGATATACCCTCGAGCCTTGGAACTTATAACCTAACAATAATACATCACACCTTTTCTACCAATATATTCACACTATGTTACGGTCACAAAAAGCTCTTTTTATGGCTATTTAAGGATCAGGAAAGTACTTGGCCTAAAATACATTTAAAACATGTTCTTTTAAAAGGGTGTGCTCTCTCAAAGTGTTCCCCTCACTGATTTGTGATACTGGATGCTGTATTGTGTGCCCTTAAATGTATTTTTGTACTAATAGACAATATATTATGTATGGCACACCAGTACCATTTTATTTTTAGATATAACACGGCTTTAATTGGATATTAGCTCTTCACGTGTGGCTGACTTTTTTTCTCCTCTGCAACACAATTTTAAGTATACCACTGTATTAATAAATAAAGTCATTTTTAAAGTAAAGAGTGTGTGTCTTAAAGGAAGTTGTTTTTTTAAAGCACAAAGTGAACTGTGATTTCATTGATCTTTTAGGCGCTGTGGTGATAAACATAAATTTTGTTGGGCTGCAATGAAAGATTCTTTTCATTATCAGTTAATCTCTAAATTGATTAATTGTTTAATCTATAAAATGTCACAAAATAGTGAAGATGCAGGATCAGGATTTGTCAGAACAATTTTCAAATTGCTTGTTTTGTCTGGGTAACAAAATAAAACCCAATGATAATCAGTTTTACTATCCCACAACACAGGAAAAACATCTAATTCTCATTCATTGATGAGCTTGTGAAGCCAGTGAAGTCTGTCGTTTAACTGATCAGTTACATGGCTGTGTCCTTTAGCTCTACTTGTGAGCAGCATGGCTCAGGTTTCACAGCTAGGTGGCGCAGGTGAGCTCTGAATGAATCTGCCACACAAGGTCAGAAACACAAAAGTCCTTCAACTGTGATTTTAATGCCTCAGGATACGACGGGGAAACGATAATACTTTTGATAAGAGAGGAGCAAAAGAAGTAGCATTTTGGAGGTTTAGTTACAATAAGTTAAAAGCTTTGCTGTTACATAAGTAGCCTATTCAAAATGTGTGTTTTCATACTAGAAAACTACAGTTACTGCCTTTTTGAGGGCAAAAAGTAGTGAAGTTGGAATATTTGCACAGTGAAAAGGAGCTATGCAGGATGTAAGCTGGTAGTTGGTTCTCACTGTGTGACTCCTTTTAATGGGTCACAAGCTAAAAAAGGTTTGGAACCACTGATGTAAAAACCAAAGCTGTCGGGGCATTTTCTAATTATGACTAATTATGTAATAATGTGCAGCCAGCCTCATTCCTTGGAGCACAATCCTCACTAGATGTGTTGCATTTACTGGCCTGCTACCTGCCTGGACCGTCAGCCACAGCCTGCACGATGAAGGGCACATCACACAGAGCCAGTGTTCAATGACAATGCAGTGCTGAGGCTGGAGCTGAAGTTAATCTACTGTCACGTTGTTTTATGAAAGGTAAACCCACCTGAACTTCAAATTAAAACAGTTTTAATTAGTCTAATTCTCAAGAAATCCTGACGACAAGGAGGAAATGCTGAATAACACTCGGACTGTGGCGTTTTCATGCAACACAAAACATCCACATTGTGCACTTTTCCCCTGAAAAAAAAATAAACCTCGTGTCTTGGTCGGCTATATGTTTAGGTTGACCCTCGCCGGGAGATCAGATATGTCTTTTCAAGCCTCCACCACATCCCCAGCAGCGGTGACAAATCACGCGCAGGTTTTTCGGATGTTGCCTGATAGTAGAGAGCCCACCCCCCACCCCTCCTCCTCCTTCACAGTCGTAGTAAAACAGACTCCGTGTAGCTCGCCGCCATGTACACGCGCAGAGTGGCACATCTCCAATGCGCAGTGTGCATCTCCTGTCCTGGCTGTTAGATTTGCTGTCGTCTGTGAAAAACCGCGGCTTGTGCCTCACACAGGAGAAGCGCTGCGGATATTCAGACACACAAAAAAACCTGGTAAAATTCAGCAGAATTTCAACTATTAAGACGTTTTTTTTTTTTCTCCTCTGCTTTATCTTGAAAGAGTAAGGGCTCGTCTCTGATTCACGCGTCTTATCCAGGCTGCATCTCTGGCTTTGAGTTGTTGGAGAGCCCGCAGAGGCGAGCATGACAGCATGACAATGGTGCAAGGCTGCTTGACAGCAGGATGATGCGTTTTTGCTTTTTGCCATTTTGCGTTTTGACTTTTGAGGAACGGGCTCTTTGCCGGAGGTGTCCCCGTGATAAACCTGCAGCGTTTTGTTTGGTCTATTTCACCTTGAAAATATTAATACTTTGTGTGTGTTATGGTAAACATCTGGTGCCTCGTCCAGTCCGCTCTTTTCTCACCTTTCTCCTCCCATCCGCCGCAGAGCTTCTCTAATTGGAGCGACTCCGATCATCTTAATTGATGGAGATCATCCACATCGGACACTGAGCACGAGTTACAGCGTTTACCAGCGCGCCAGCAGGCTGAAACACAACGATTCAGCTTCTTGTTGGATGTTATTGTCTCCTCTGCTGCTGCTGCTGTTGTTTGTCGTTCACCCAGTTAGTCGTATCCTCCAGTGACAATGCCGGTGAACGCGCTGCCCCGTGGCGGCGGAGGCAGCAGCGGCATCGGCGGCATCGGCGGCCCGGGGTCCCTGAGCCCGGCGTCGCTGTCCCGCAGCCTGTCCCGACTAAGGGAGTACCGGACCCGGACGAGGATCATGCTGGCTCTGGGAGTCTCTCAGATGGTCCTGGGGAGTCTCATCCTGGCAGTCAGCTTCGCGGCTCTGGCTCTCACCACATCACCCAGAGTCCGGCACTCGTGCCCTTTCTGGGCAGGTTTCTCTGTGAGTACAACGATTCCACTATGTTTGAATCAAACATGATATAAGTTTTCATCTGCTGAAGGAAAAGAAACACGGTAGTCGCCTAATAATAAATGTAAGATATTAGATATTGAGACAACAGGATGATGCCAATATTATTAGTCTATTCGTATTGTAATACAACAGATCCATAAAACAGGAATATTTGTTACTTGTCACTACATTCCTGTCATAAGCTATTGACTGAAGCACAGGCGAAGACAATTTTTGTACATGATCACTATTTAAGGAATATTATAACTTGATTTCCTTTTTTTTTAGTCTCAGCTTAACTAATTGGTGTGAGGATGCTGAGCCTGATCAGTAATAGCAGACACACACTCAGAGAGGGGGATGTTTTAATTTTGATACAGTGCTCCTTCCTGCCTGTACAGCATGGTGTGTTTAGAGTAAGCTCATTGAGATGTTGTGTTTTTTTTACATGTGAAATTTTCATGGTGGTTTCTGTAAATATTTATGAATGCACACTTCCTTGATTTCCTGCCAGAGTCCCTGAGCAGCGCTGATCCATTAATTATAGAGGCAGTGGTGGGCCAGAGTGCAGGGGTGAGGGGAGGTCTGTGGCACAAGGGCCATCTGTGTGGTGTGTGGTGTGTGTGTGTGTGTGTGTGTGTGTGTGTGAGTGGGAGTGTCCCCATTCAGGGCGAATAGTAAATAACCAGAGCAAAGGTCAACACACACTCTTGATCAGTGCTTCGGGCTGATTTGACAAACTTCTGTGTGGAATGTGTTTCAGGCCTGTCAGCCCGTTGTGCTGTCTCTTACCTACTGTTATCTCTGTGCACCAAAACCTGATGCCTGATGCATCTTTGTGCCCCGACGCACAGAGTCAACACTCTACATTTTGTTAAGTTTGTTAGTTATGTTATTAACTGTTTCATACACATACAGGTTCCCAGCTGCAGTGATAAAACAAGTACATAGCTTCTTACACATAGCATTACTCTGCAAACAAAGAACACACTTAAAACAAAACTCCTTTTTTATTTATTGATAATCATCCATCCTGTAGACTTTCGTCAGAGATGTCGGCCATTTTATTGAAAAGCTTGGCCCCTAAATTTTCCTATGAGCAACAAAACATGAAACGGGACTCATTTTCACCTTCACCTAAAATGCATAACAAATCCTTGTATTTTCAGGGAGACCAGTAAACCTGTCATCTACACAAATGTAACTGCGTACAAACAGTTTAAATTCTGTGTCACATACTGTAAGGCTTGAAACTATGGGTTTTTCATGAGATGGACATGTTCATAATTTATGTTTGTATGAGACATCAACTGATTCTGTTGATATAAGAAATAAGAGATAAATTATGTAGGTATGTTAGTGATGTGTTGAAGAAGTTGCTTGACATCCATTCTTATCAAGAAGGCTCTTCAGCTGAAGATGGTACATAGGATGAGGGTAAGGTTTTAGGGGAAATGTTGCTGGTAAGCAGAGGTTTAGTGCTGTAATTCGGGCTTAGTCAGGTGTTGAAAACAAAAGAGCCTGCTGGCAGCAAGAGTCACTGGCCACAGTGGCGCCAAAACCCAGATAATGGGACCAGATCTCCATCTGGAGACTCTGGTGATGGAAGTAATTTGCCCACAAGCAATCACTGTGGAAGTCGCTCTTTGTAGAGTCAAGAGCTTTTAAACTGCTGAAAACACTGTTAAATAAGTTTGACATCTTCACACGATTAACAATCAAGTATGTGGTTTGGAAAAAGACATTTGTCAACTTGGCATTGGTTTTACAATATGCTTACATCTTTGGTTATTGGAAAGTGCTTCGGAGCTGATTTGAATAGAAACCGTCTTTTATCAAGAATTTTTGTTTGAGTAAATGAGATGAATCAACAGCGTCTCATTTAGATGGGACGGGACGCTTTCTGTTGCTCTGTGATTTAATCTAATGAGTGTATTTGTACACAAAGGCTTGCTTTGTACAGCTTTAAGTCTCTGCACAGCTAATCTACCCCTAATTTCAGAGAAGAACAGTGTTCCTTCTTCTGGCTTGATGTGTGTAAGCAGTTAATAGTCCTCAGGGTGGTGGGCCAAATGTGTAGATCCTGAATATCTATTACAAATGCTTGAGTGGAGTGTATCCATGTTCAAGCTGAGGTCCTAAACAGGTAAAGTTGTTTGTATGAACCTCTCATATCCTGCAGACAGATGTCCGTGTCACCAGGAGTAAACCGATAACCCTCAGTGTCTTGACAATCTGATTCTTTGAGCATGTAAATGTAGTTATCTTTGAACCTTAAAGCCTTTTATGTTGAGCTTCCTGCCATATTGGTGACCTGAGCTATGATGCAGGTGAGGACAAATCATCAACGTGTGTACTCGGTAGGCTGCGTGTGGTCACTGTGGGACGTCATTAAGGATCTCTGTGTGATGACTGGTATTGTGGGATTTCATCACGGACGCAGCGAGAGAAGGCGCAATCTTTACTTCCTACACAGAGCAATCACTGCTGAGCCTGGCTGTCTGTGTGAGTGGGAGTGTCCACACACACACACACACGCACACACACATACACACACACACACACGCATACACACACACACGCACACACACACACACACGCACACACATACATACACACACACTCACCCAGAAACATACATTTAAACATATCATCTCAGTGTTGTGCATATCAGTTGTTCTGTGTCCCTCATCCTGATTCTCCACACTCCAGCATTGTAACGGCTTTGATGTTCAGCGCTGTGTTTTTGATAGCATAATATCTCACACACACACAAACGCACACACACACACTTGCCTGGCCAACAGAGACTAATCCTACAAATATCTTGTTCTTTCCTGCACCCAACCCGAGGTTTGTGATCATCCCACACCCCTGCTGTAACTCTTTAGCTCGGCAGACAAGCAGCCAGCCGCAGTCACTTCCTCTCGATGTGATTTGGGCGAAAGAAGATGACGCAGGGCTGCAGACTCTGGGGCTGCAAAGTATGTGAGGCCCGGCATTCAGTCGCCTCTACTCTGCCCTGTCAGGCCAGATCGCCAGCAGGTTTACCTGGCTGGCTGTGAATCACACCGCCCTGCCGGGCTTGGCCAATAGATGTGGCGCCGTGGCTGAGCGAGCCAAAGGCCCTCTGCAGCTGTCAGCAGCTGACATGCAGAACAAATTACACCTCACATCTCCATGAATTAAGCTTGGGACAGATCCAAGTGTCTAAACACACAAACATGAACGCGCAAATCAAACTGCTTCTCATTTCCTGCCACAGAGAATAAAGACACTTTGTAGAAAATATGTGAATATAGGGAGTAACTGCAGGCATCATTTACAAATTCACATTAGATTTTGATGCTTTCTATCTCTTTCTCCCACTAAGATATTTCCTCTCCAGCTGGAGAAAAGGATTTACTTCTCCTTTTTTTCCCTCCCCCGCTCTCCTGGTTGTGCGAAAGAAGAGGAATGTTGATTTCATGTGTGGCGACTCTAAAAGTACCACTCCAACAATCTACAGACTGTGCCGTCACAAAGACGGCTTAAGACGGTATTCTTGGTGTTTGTTGTGAGGCAGCTCTTTCTGCTGCATTTCCAGCACCAACCGTCAGCAAATTCTGCACTAATCTGTGTGTGTGTGTGTGTGTGTGTGTGTGTGTGTGTGTGTGTGTGTGTGTGTGGAGGGCTCCAAAGTGTTTTGTAGGCGGTGATCATGTTTACTGTGAGGCTCCATGGCTCTGGGGATGACGTTGTTGGTCTCTATTTTGTTCCAGACCAAATTATTTCAACAACTATTTTATGGATTGCCATGAAATTTTGTGCAGAACTTCCTGGTCCCCAGTGGATGAATCGTAGCAACGTTGGTGTTCCCTTGATTTTTCATTTAGTGCCACCAGTCGCTCCAAGTTTTCATTTATCCTGTGAATTAGGTCAACATCTGTTGCGTGAATTAACACTAATTAAGTTTTTTTTATTCATTCTTTCTGTTCACAACCATCAGCCTGTGTACAAACTGTATTTAATATTTAGTTCTAATCAGTAAATATTAGCATGCTAATACATTAAGCTAAGATAGGTTAGTAAACCTGATAAAAAAAATAATTATGTTAATACTGTCATTGTGAGCATGTTAGCATTTAGCTTACTGTGCTTAAGTACAACCTCATAGAATCGCCAGTGTAGACGCTTTTGTTTTTTTGGTTTTTTTCTTCCTTTTTTTTTTTCTTTTTCTGTGTTGAAGCTCGACTCTAAATAAAAACGCAAAATTAGACTTTTATCATCGAGCCTTGATGTTTTGTGCCGTCTTGAGACTAGAAAACCAGCAAAATAAAAAAGATAAAGTGGACACAGATGAACAATTTGCCTCTAAGTGCTACTGGGGCTTTCATAGGAAATTATTTTAGAGCAAAGATTATGGATTTGAGTTTAACGACGATCTCGAAAAACACGTGTTTTTTGTTTTGTTTTTTTGAGTGGCCTTTGTGAGGAATAGACAGGAGCAGTTCTGGTAGCAGACAAAGACAAAGAGGAGAAATGTTTGATTTGATTGTTCTGTTGTTTCTGCGGCGAGGGACTGTGAATCATCATTAATTTACTGGCTTATTAGGCTTAGGTAGTATCCCGGCAACAGTTCTTAAGGCACAGACACACATGCACACACATACAGTAGACTCATCATGCTGCACTTGGAAGTGAAGTCTGCAGAGCTGCTTTTGGAAGTCGTCGTTTTTATGAAAAGACTTTCTGTCTGTTGCATAAGAATGAAGTGAAGACAGATGTGGTTGTTGTCAGGAATACTGAGACACTTTATTAAAAAAAATTCCCTTTGGCGTCGCTTATGAGTCAACATCAAAGCGAACGGAGAAGTGTGAGCGTTACATTCAATCAGTCGTCGTTCTCTGCCTTTAAAGTGAGTATCAGTACTTCCACCCCAGTGTCAAGCACGCGTCAAGCTTTTTATAAATTTTCTCTATATGATTTCACAATAAGATCTATATGAG